GTAGAGGCTTCATGGCCTTCATAGTGGCTGTTTATGGTTCAGTAGACAGTCGTGTGGCTTCACTTTGTAGAGTTAAGAAGACCTGAAAGCCAACAGCCCGCGCATCGAGCTGTAAATATGGAGCTATATACATACCCTAATCCCGAACCATAACCCCTAAACCCATAAACCCTAGAACCTTCGATCCGGAATCCTAAAGCCAGACCCTTAACCTGGTTGAGTGTGGAGGTGTTGCTTGCAACGTATGCGATAATTACAGCTTATCGGATGGATGGGCCAGTCGCTTCCCAAAGGGCTTCTACGTAATGCTCTTGGGTCTTCGAGTGCTTGGGTACCCCGAAGCATCATGGATTCTGGACCGTAAGGCTAAGGCTCCATGCGAATTTGTCGGTGAGCATGTATTTGGGATGTTATTGTGAGGATGATGCTGGTAGTGGAAGCCTTAGTTGAGTACACTCTGAGGCTATGCGTCGTAACTTCGTGCTCGCACTGATGTTTGACACCACAGACTCAAATTTTAAACGCTTAAGAATACTTACCGATGCTATTTTGGGGTGTTCCTTATTGTAACTATCGTAACAATATACCCCCCCCCAAACCCTATTCTAATTATTAAGGCCCCTACATTAAATCTCGAGCAAGGAATCTCGAAACCCCAGACCCAAGACTGTAACACCCTGTGACCCTGTGCCCTAAACTGGGTTCTTGGTAAAGGACTTAGACTACCATTATCAAGAAACCGTATTATTTACTATAGATCCCTATTACGTACGGCAACTTAGAAGAAAGCCCGTAACAAGGACCCAGTAAACTTCTCCCAATGACGATTCCTCGCGACTTGGTGTATTTGACCCCTTGGGTTTTCCCCCGGTGGCCAGGAGATCCCGCAGTACTTCACGTTTAGGGTTTAAGGTTTAGGGTTTAAGGCTTAGGGCTGAAAGTTTAAGGTTCGGGGTTTAAGGTTTAGGGTTTAGGGACCCTAAACCCTAAACCTTAAACCGGGTTGAAGCTATTCCGAGCTCCACCTGAGTTCGGCCTTAACGGGTTCCCAGATTGTAGCCTTGCGAGTTGTAGGGCGGCTCTGGGGTCCCGTGGCTCTGGACATGTTTTTGGATGGAGAGCTCTAGGGCGGTTTAGGGGTTTAGGGGTTTTAGGGGCTTTGGGGTTTAGGGGTTTAGGGGCTTTGGGGTTTAGGGTTTTAGGGTTTAGGGGTTTTGGGGTTTTGGGGGTTAGGGTTTAGGGGTTTTGGGGGTTTTAGGGGCTTTAGGGGTTTAGGGGTTTAGGGTTTAAGGGTTTGGGGGTTTAGGGGTTTAGGGTTTAGGACTCTTGGGCTTCAGTGCGCATTGGATACATGGGCCTGTAGAGATTCGCACGAGACAGGTGACGCGGCAGCACAAGAAAGATCAGTGGGCCCTGGATGATGTCATCTCACACACAGAGGTGTACCTGGGCTCACCATGAGCATATTAACCCTTACCCGCAAACCCTAAACCCTAAACCGTAAACCCTAAACCCTAAACCTTTCAGTCTGAATTGAACTCATGTTTTCGGTGTTGCTTGTCCTGCTACCCTGTGTTCGAGGGGTCTTCTTGGAGTCTTGGAATTCTTGGCCCAAAGCTCTTTGCATGGTCCTTGGCTGTATGAACTGAAGGCGTCGTCTTGGATCCCTACCCTAAACCCCGAAGCCCCTGAACTCTAAACCCTAAACCTTAAACCCTAAACCGCTAAACCCCTAAACCCTAAACCCCTAAACCCTAAACTCTAAAACAAATTGAATCTTCTGGATCCCTGGAGGCCTCTTCCGCACAGCCGTAATCCGTCGACCCGAGGGTTCTCAGATGCTAGGAACTTCACGATTCTCGGCCTAAAATCCCTAAAGCCTCAGCCGTAGACACCCTGAGCCAGAACCAAAAGCCTGGACGTTTCTCTACAACTCTTGGAGGTTTCTTCCTTTGCACCAAGTGTAATCGTCAAAACTTCTTTGGACCCCTGTGTTTTCTCGAGATCGGCGCTGCACTCAGTGGTGACATGAAAATGCCATGGCTGCATTGAGATTCGTCTCCTTACAGCTGGCAGAGAGCAAAAGACTTGAGGCCCCAACTCTCAAGGCAAGCGACGAACCAACCAAACCCCCGAGACTTGCCTCTTAATCCCGACCCTAAAGCCGATACCCGGGGTTTAGGGTTTAGGTTTTGGGGTCCTAATTCTACAAACCCTCATAATCAAGTTGAAAACCTTCCAAAGAAACCTAGAGCCGTAAGCCTTAAACCCTAAATCCTAAGCCCAAACCCCTGTCCATACCCGAGGCTTCCCTACGACATGGAGCGGATCCGAGAAGTTCCTGAAGAGGGACAGCGGCCCGGTGGCAAGGAGGTTTCCTTCGGGGCCTTAAGAATCAGAGTAGGCTGCCCTTAACAGGCTTCCTTCTAAAGGTTTAGGGTTTAGGGTTTAGGGGTTTAGGATCTAGGATTTTAGGGTTTATGGTTTGGCGTTTGGGGTTTCTATAAAGGCCTGCTAACAAGTGTGTCAGGGACGCTTGGCACAGGGACCTTCACAATCAGACTTGGGGTTTCGCGGGGCATCTCTGTAGGATGAAAAAGGAGGAGCTCCAGGGCCCTGGGGAATACTCTACCCATAGGCTCCTAAGTAGTTCCTTTTTGTGGTTTCTTGTTTAGAATCCTATATGAGGTAATCCCCAAAAGGAACTACGAAGGAGCCTATGGGTAGGCTTGTTTTTTTGTTGTTGCTGTCGGACTCTTTGAGGCTTGGGCTTGGGTTTTGGGCTCCAGGGGTCAGGTCTTAGGGTCAGCAACCGCTATACTTAAGGCGGGGCTCGGGAAGGGAGAAAGCATAAACCCTAAACCCTAAACCCTAAACACAAAGCCGCCAACACTGGGAGGAAGTTGTGGGCACCCAAGGGCTCTGGGATGTTTTCGGGCTCCAGAGGTTAAGTCTTAAGATGATTCGGGTCTACGGTTTAGGGTTTATAGGGTTTAGGGCTTAGGGTTTAGGGGATAAGGTAAGCAGGCTTTTCCTCGATTGAGGGATTGCGGCTTCAGGGCTTTAGGGCTTGGCTTTTGTTTTACCCAAAACCCTAAACCCTAAACCGTGGCTCTCCTTGAGGCGTTTTAGGGCAGAGGAAACGTGCAACTCCCCTAAGCCCTGAACAGCACTAAGCTCCAGAGGCCTGCCATTTAGCTTTGCCTTATGGGTTTAGGGCCTCAAGGATTTGGGGTTTAGGGTTTAGGGTTTCAATCAATTACCACTGCTCTTCTTCCTTCGGGGCTTCCTATTTGTATTATCCCACCCCAAGCCCTACTCGAAGTGTTCAGGCCCGAGCGCTATAACCCCTAAACCCCTCAACCTCCATGTGCTCCGAAGCTGCGATGGCCGAGGAGCCCTCATCCCTGACATCTTTGAACCACCCAAGAATCCCGAAACCCGGGACAAAACCCGCAAAAAGCCCTAGACTCTAGAAGCCTTAAACCAAGACCTTATAACCCGGGGTTCCCTAAACCCTACATCCCTAAACCCCAAGGCCTAAATAAGCCCGAAGCCCTCTAAGCCATAAGACCCTGAAGACTCGAAGCTCAATTTAGGAACATCTGGGGTCTCTTCATTGAGGGAGGACGCTGGAGCCGACAGGACAACCACCCGGCTGAACCTAACACACAGGCTTTCAGAACTAGAAGACTGTAGGGAGGGGAGCACGATTTCAAGGGTGAGTTCTAAAGTATTCTAAAGCCTCTGTAATGTAGGCTTAGTTATATGAGCACCATAACTTAAGGCTACTTGGGGGTCGGAGATTTATGATTAAAGGCTTAGGAATCAGAAAGAAAGAACTTGTAATAATGTTTCCTTGTCGTCCTTATATAAATATGCAACAATATACGCCAGAGTCTTGTCCGAGTTGTATTTAGGCCCCTGAGGCGGTGTCTAGGGTAAAGGAGGCTTTGGTTTCAGGATTTGGGGTTTGCGGCTCTGAGGTCTAGGGTGTGTGTGTGTGTGTGTGTGGACCGTTTATAAGGTTTAGGGGCAGCAGCTTGACATAAGGTCCGCAGACGTGTCAGTGAGCTTTGGGTATTAGAGTCGTTGCGAAAGAAGGAGTTTCGTTTAGTTGTCGAATCTTCCAGGTTCAGACTGACAGGTTTTGTACTTGTGGAGGCTGTCAATTCGCCGTGGCCCTTGCAACAGTTGGTTTGATTCTGGTGGCGCTTCGTAAGTGCATGCCAGAGATGGGTGAGCTAAACACATGAGAACCGTGAGTGGAAGCTTGTAGCGTGCTGCCTGAAAGGGACGCGGCTTATCCAGCAATCGTATGAGATCAAACTTTCAAAGCCACAACAATTTGGTCGTGTGGTCCGTCCAGGCCAACATTATGTTGACACCAGGACCCCTTTGCAATCCTCTCTCCCCACGGTTCTGAGCCACAACAAGCTCTTGCCGACAGTCTCCACCGTTCAGGTAGTAACCAAGCCGATGTGCGAGATCTGACATCAGTGACATCAATGCTCCAAGCAAATCTCCTACAAGCAAAGCAAGGATCACAACCCCAAGTACCTTAAACACAATTTCCCGACAGCCAGCCGAAAAGGGGCGACCAAAAACAGCAAAAAGGACCCTAGACCCCAAACTTTTCCCCTAATTGCCACATCCTAAAAACTCAACACCCCAAACCCCTAATTGCCACCCTTAGCCCTAACTTCAAGCCTGCCCCCGATTTCTCGACACTCGTCGGCCCAAAAAAGCTAAAATGTAAAAACATCATTTCCTAAGCCGTCTTTAATTCCTAAACTTCATGAATTGCCAAATGTATGACCTTGCAACCCTAAACGCCCTAACCATCAACTCCTAAGCCATGTTGAGCTCCATCCCCAACCTTATTCAATCAATTCCAACGCCGTCAAAAATCTAAGTAACCCTAAACCCTAAACCCTAATTAATTCCTAAACCCTATAAACCCTAAACCCTAAATTCCCTAAATATAATCTAAGCCGCAGGACAGCAGGATCGAAGAGTCGGAGCCCAAGAAGCTCTTCACATCCATGCCTGCGATCTTTGTCACGGCCACGACAGCAAAGGACCTGAAGGCGGGTTTAGGGTTTAGGCTTAAAAGCAAAAAAAAAGAAGTGGATTTTATTTTAGGAAACAGGCTTCCTATGGAGTTCTGTTCGGGGCTCGATTTGTTTAGAAGGGTTTGGGGATTTGGGGTTTTATGCGTTCAGGCTGTAAGACTTAGGGGTTTAGGGTCGAGGGTTTCGGGTTTAGGCTTTTTGAAGTCTAAGTGCTTCGATCCGGGTTTAGGGAAGCAGGGTGTCAAGGGTCCCCTGTGGTGTGATTTCGGTGTGGTGCTAGCAGGTGCAGACGATCCTGGGCAAGAGCTGGTTACTGGGTCACCGGTGCCTTCCACAAAGCTTTTAGGATTTTGGATTTGGTCACGGTACATAACCTGATACTGCATCTACAGCGAAGCACTTCAATGCTTTGTCGTTGTTTTTTTTTGTTGTGGCACGCGCCCAATCTTGTTTGGTGTAGTTGATGTTTGGAAACTCATCAAGACATACTTAAACATAAACGGGGAAGCCTCCGGGAAGTTTTCATGCAGACGCTGGCCTTACTAGCCCTCTTTTGCCCCATCCAAGTGCCCTAAACCCTAATAGCCTTGAGCCCTAAACCCTAAACCTTACAAACCCTATAAACCCTCTAAACCCTCTAAACCCTCTAAACCCTAAGCCCTAAACCCGAAGCCGTAAGCCCTAAACCCTAAGTGCCCTGAGCCCTAAACCGTAGACCGAAGGATCGGGCTCCAGGGCTGAGGGCTTAGGGTTTACGGGTTTTAATAGGGTTTTAATAGGGTTTATAGGGCTTTATAGGGCTTATAGGGTTTATGGGGTTTATAGGGTGTTAATAGGGTTTTAATAGGGCTTAGAGGGTTTATAGGGTTTATAGGGCTTATAGGGCTTATAGGGTTTTAATAGGGTTTTAATAGGGTTTATAGGGTTTATATAGGGTTTTAATAGGGCTTATTGGGTTTTATAGGGCTTATAGGGTTTAGGGTTTAGGCTCCCAGCATAGCAAAATCACACCAGGTGCGGCTCCTACCTCGTACCTTAAGGACGACATGAACCCTAAAAGAGTTTAGGGTTTAGGGTTTAAGGTTCATACACCATAATAGTAGTTCATAGTATCAGGGTCTAGGGCCCCTACTTTTTAAGGGTCATCTCGTCCTTAAGGTAAGGACAGCTGTGTAGTTCTCTGAATTAGGGTCCCCAAGATAGTACGGCACCCTTATAAACTGGACCCTAAAAGGGACCCTAAATTTAGAGAACGCCCTCCTTAGCGTTCCTGCAATAAGCTGCACTGGCATGACAAAATCGATGCTATCAACGATCTTAGCAAAGTCCCTTCTTGATTTCGGGACAGGACAGATTTTCAAAGGAGTATCCATACTGCGGAGAACTGATGCCCATGCCTCCCAAATACCACAGAATTGCACTATCCGAAGATGTCTCAATAGTCGTAATCCGACCACCTCTTGATGAGCAGTAGCGGGACTCTGCCCTAAGCCGCCGCTTAAGCATATAGGCCCTGAGCCCTAAACCTCAATACCATACGCCCTAAACCGTAAATCCCATAAACCCTAAACACTAAAACAAGCCTTAACCAGGACCTCAGACCTTGACCTCGAAGCCCGACGACCTACCTATTACAGGAGTCGAGTTTGTGAGCAATAATATCCCCTTATGGTCCCTATTGACCTATTGTGAACAATAACAATAAACATGACTTCGATGATGGCTATGATTGTGACTACTGAAGGCTAGCTCTAATCGTCAGGGCTCCTGCATTGGACACCGCCCCAACTCAGAAATAGTTGAATAGTATTTGTAATACAGTTATATAATATATGGCCCATAATAGTAGCCTAGCCCTGTCACCCATAGGCTCCTAAGTAGTTCCTTTCTGTGGTTCATATTTAGAATCCTATAAGGTAGTCTCAAAAAGGAACTGCTAAGGAGGGGGCATAGACTGATTGCTGTATGGGGGCAGTGCCTAACTCCTACATTAGGCCCTCGAAGACTCGGACCGCTTTCCGAGATCGGAGTACTGTCCTTTCTGTAACGGTGCTGGACTGTTTAAGGGACCCTAGCTTTAAAGAAAAACTGCGCGAAGGATGGTTTAAGGGATGCTAACGAAGATCTGCCTGCAAAGCTGAAAGGTCAAGGAGCAGTCTGGGCTTCCAGTTTCGGCTTGGGGGTCGAGGCTTGCAGGTCAGAGGTTTGGGGATAGGGTTTAGGGCTTAAAGCCACAAGCCCAGAAACGTGAATCATAAAGTTATGCATCGAGTTTCGCTTTGGCAAGCGAAGGCAGTTTTTGGCAACCACGGGAGATGTATAGCTTGCCAACCCCTCACACCCGCTCTGCAGAAGCATATAATTAAGCTCCTTTACCGACAGCCAGCTTATTCCCTCAACATCTGCACACGCAGGCGATGGGATTGAACTACGGACCCCACGGCCCTTACAACACCGCCGTCTACAAGTATCCAAAGCGCAGCGCGGTCTGCACTCGTGGCAATGGGGCAAGGGCTTTTTAGAGATCGCTCCATGACGATTTAGGGAAGGGTGCACGACTATGAAGTACGACCTTGATGTTGGAGGTGTCGTTGGCCCTTGCCAAAGTCAAAGTCTCAGGCTCAAAAGCTTGGAAGCTGGGGTGTACCCATAGGCTCCTTAGTAGTTCCTTTTTGGGATTACCTTATAGGATCCTATATATGTGGACCATAAAAAGGAACTACTATGGAGCCTCTGGGTAGCTTGTAGGTCTCCTGTTTGGCACGTACTCCGTTACTCCATCGCCTTCCATCGCTTCTTGGGATCCCCTAACCCTCCAGGTACCTACTATATAGGGTCCGAGAGCCCCTAGGGCCCTGTATAGTAGGTACCTGGAGGGCTAGGGATCGTGCGTTGGGATGCTCGAAGTCTTCATCGCGCATGTGTGCACCCAGTGGTTTGGTGTGAACTGTGCGTGCCTGCGCGCTGTGTGTGCATGCGTGTGTGTGCGTGTGTGAGCTCCCGCTTTTTTCGGGCTATAGGACTCTTGCAGACCGGCTGCATGTTCTTTCTACGAATTCCTTCAGATCTTGTTGCCCAAGGCAACGACCGTTACCTCATCTTCCGAATGATGCTCCGAACGGAGATGCATCCTTATCATTGGCAGCCCGGCTTACTTTGGGGGCTGCAAGTTTGCCGCAGATTGCGAATCTCCAGCTGTTCTAGTTTTTAGGATTTAGGCTTTAGGGTTTTGGGTTGTTCTAGTTCCGGCCGTCCTTACCTTTCTGAACTTGCAACTACAAACCCACTGGACAGATTGCATGCTGAACTCTTCCATGACATGATCTTATGCTAAGAACTCTGCTCCACCCTTCACGCAGCTCGCAGTTGCTAAGGCTCCATCAACCCTAGGCCGTCCACTAAGTTCCCCAGTAGTACCTATTTGGGGGTCTCCCTGCTAAGAACCTAACGTAAACCCTAAGCCCTAAACCCTTAAATCCTGAACCCTTGTTGTGACGGTGTTACTGGGGAGCCTGGTAAACAGTCGCGGGTGAACCGGCGGGATTCCTCGGAGCATCAAGGGTACTTAGAGGCTCATACCCTACCCTTTTTGGGCACCTGCGGTTGATGATATAAACACTGCATTACCTTAAGGACCCTAGACTATGGGAGTTATGGTATATTCCTTATTATGGGTAATGCAGGATTTACACCATCAACAGCAGCTTTTATATAAGAGATCCTGACCAGAAAACCGAGGTAGCCTCAAAAAGGGGTAGGCTATGACCCATTAGGCATGGTGCAGATTCTAACCACCTCCGAGTCAAAGAGTTCTACCAGACCTGCAAACTAAACCGTAGTGTAGAGACTTGACCAGAAAAACACACCTTTCCTCAAGGGCCACATTTTTTCGATCCCTAGTATCATCCTTATTCTGGGTGAGGGGTCGGTTGCAAAGGTCTCTACATCCCAAACCGTTGCCCGTGAATCTAAACTAGAACATCTGAACTGAAGCACATAAGCCCTGAGTCCCTGAGTCAAAACCCTGCACCAGCGCAACCTCAAAGAGCCCTAAACCCAAAATCCCAAAAGCTAAGGGCTCCAACAACCCCAAAATACTTGGCACATCCGAAAGCTTCCTACACCCTAAAACCTGCATCCGAAAGCTTCCTAAACCCTGGTTGTAACCGAAAAGACCCACTTTGTTAAGGAACTATATATAGAAGCCATAAGAAGGAGCCCTAAAAAGCTAGGTCTTTTCGGTTACAGGTAAGCACTAGACTTCCCTAAGCCCGCAAGCTGAACAAACCGAGTTCGGGCCAGGAATTTCGGTAGATCGCCGTCCTCTGTTGGGTTTAGGGGTTTACGGTTTATGAGCTCTAGGGGTGTCGGGTTTAGGACTTTGGGGCTTGGGTTTTGCGTTTTAGGGGGCTTCTCCTCAACCCTAGCTCAAAGCCCTGGCATGAAGAAATTCTTGAAAGCTTGTTTCCTGTATCGCAAAACCAATCATAGACCGTAAACCCCGAAGGCCCTAAACCCTGTCAAGACCCCCCGATTGCCCTCTCTCAAACACTGCACTCTACCAGATCCGAATACACAGTCGTATTCATGGCAGGCTATGTGGAGCTCCCCGCTACCTGGTAGAAGGTAAGCCCTTGAACCTCAACGGCCCTTCACCCTCAACACGAACTCCAGCTACGTGGGTGCTCAGGAAGCTCAGAGGTGTCTGTCTCGTGGCGCAGACGGAGTGATCGAGCAGCTCGGCCGCTGTAGCAGTGTTGTGTGTGTGTGTGTGTGAATATATACACACAAATCCAAACACGCATGGGTCCGTGTATATATATATATACATGTATGTGTGTATATATATATGTATATATATATATATGTATATATATATGTATATTCTAATATATATATATATAAAGAAATTACATTATTTACATATACATACTATATATATATATACACATACACACACACTCTTACATACATACATGCATACACACATGAATGGATCTCTCTATCGATGCAGATATAGATTTGTACATATAGGTATATAGCTATATATAGATATATAGATATACGACATATACAGATATACAGACACAGATGTAGACAAACAGACATAGATAAAGGTATAGATATATAGATACAACCAGAGATATAGATGAGACATCTATAGATATGCTTATGGATATTGACATAGATATAGATATAAACATCGATATAGCTATAGATACAGATATAGATGTATGCATGTATGCATGCATGCATGGATGTTTGTATTGTATTGTATTGTATTGTATTGTATTGTATTGTATTGTATGTTGTATTGTATTGTATATTATATATTGTATATTGTATATTGTATATTGTATGTACGTGTGTATGTGTGTATGTATGTAATGTAATGTAATGTAATGTAATGTAATGTAATGTAATGTAATGTAATGTAATGTAATGTAATGTATGAATACGTACGTATGTACGTATGTACGTACGTATGTATGCATGCTTGCATGTATGTATGTATGTATGTATGCATGCATGCTTGCATGTATGTATGCATGCATGCATGCATGCATGCATGCATGCATATGTGTGTATGTGTGTATATCCATATTTGCATGCGCCCCCCCCCCCTTTCCATGAGCCACCCGAGCATGCTTACAGTAAGCAGGCGACCATATATATATATATATGTATATGTCTGTGTGCGCGCATGTTCGATGTTTACATGCTTACCAAGAGGGTCCACATATACTACCATTATGGAATTAGGCTCCCAAGACCATAAAGGGACCTAATTCCATAATGGTAGCTTGTATGAACCGTCTGGGTTAGTTTGTTGGAGTTTGTTTCGTGTTTGTGCGTGTTTAGAGGTTTTTTGCCCGTGGCTAGCGCTTGTGTTTTGTCGAAATCTTCGGGTTTAAGGTTCAGGGTTCAGGGGTTTAGGGTTTAGGGGTTTGGGGTTTAGGGTTTAGGGGTTTAGCCTGTCTCTCAAACTCCTATTTCAGGATGCAGGGTGTGCTTATTGTATTTATATGTATATATGTATATACATTTCATTTCATTTTCATTCGCAGCTATCCCGTGAGTTCACGAAAGCTGAGTCAGAGCCCGCTATTGGGACCCAATCACCTTTGCTGGTGCTCATCGCTGTCCCTCCAATCCCGAGGG